GGTGTACAAGGTGATATTTTGTCCCCCATGTTAAGTGAATAATAATAATAATAATAATAATAATAATAATAATAATAATAATAATAATAATAATAATAATAATAATAATAATAATAATAATCATAGTTGAGAGTTAGGTATACATTTCAGGAATAGGCATTAAATGTCGTCTAGGTCTAACTAAAATAATGTATGCTCACTTCTGGCAAGACATCTAGTGTATGAATGATGATGAAAGTTTTTTCTTTGTTAGAGGGTCACTCTGCTCTTCTAGAAGATGAGATGACTGGTGTCTTCAAAACAATGGCAGGATAAAACACACAAACAAACACGAAATAAGAAAATTCTATTTTGACCTCCATTTGAGATCTTCTTCTGCTGACAGATAATTTAACCACCTTGGCTATCTTGAGACGTTATAAAAATTATTTCGACCTCCATCTGAGGTCTTCTTCAGTAGATTCATTCAGACTTAAAACAATTTCTTAAAAAAAAAATGAAATCATAAAATGAAAATGCATAAATAAATCTAAATCTAAGTTGATATTTTTTTGAAAAACCAAAATTTGAAATAGTTAAAATTTACAGATATTTAGAAAGCTATAAAAATAATACCTTAGATGCTAATGAAGGGCTTTTGATTAAAGGAACTGGAGCTACACTCTCCTTCTTTGGATCCCAATGGATTAATTCTCAATACCAGGGGACAGTATAACCCACAAGGGTTTACCGGATTCGGATATATATATACCCACCCACTCCACTTTCCCACCTACTCCACTTTCCCACCTACTCCACTTTCCCACCCACTCCACTTTCCCACCTACTCCACTTTCCCACCTACTCCACTTTCCCACCTACTCCAACTTTCCACCCACTCCACTTTCCACCTACTCACTTTCCCACCTACTCCACTTTCCCCCTACTCCACTTTCCACCACTCCACTTTCCCACCTACTCCACTTTCCCACCTACTCCATTTCCCACTACCCACTTTCCCACCCACTCCACTTTCCCACCTACTCCACTTTCCCACCTACTCCACTTTCCCACCCACTCCACTTTCCCACCTACTCCACTTTCCCACCTACTACCACTTTCCCACTACTCCACTTTCCACCTACTCCACTTTCCCACCCACTCCACTTTCTCACCTACTTCACTTTCCCACTACTCCACTTTCCTACCCACTCCACTTTCCCACCTACTCCATTTCCTACCCACTCCACTTTCCCACCTACTCCACTTTCCACCACTCCACTTTCCCACCTACTCCACTTTCCTACCCACTCCACTTTCCCACCTACTCACTTTCCTACCCACTCCACTTTCCCACCTACTCCACTTTCCTACCACTCCACTTTCCCACCTACTCCACTTCCTACCCACTCCACTTTCCCACCTACTCCACTTTCCACCCAACTCGACTTTCCACCTACTCCACTTTCCTACACCACTCCACTTTCCCACCTCACTCCACTTTCCCACCCACTCCACTTCCCCACCATCCACTATTCCCCCACATCCCACTTTCCCATCCACTTCACTTCCACCCACTTCACTTTCCCACCTACTCCACTTTCCACCCACTCCAATTTCCCACCTACTCCACTTTCCCACCCCTCCACTTCCCACCTACTCCACTTTCCACCACTTCACTTTCCCACCACACTTCACTTTCCACCCACTCCACTTTCCCACCAAACTCCACTTTCCCCACCCACTCTACTTTTCCACCCACTCCACTTTCACACCCACTCCACCCTCCCGCCCACTCCACTTTCCCACCCACTCCACTTTAACACCCACTCCACTTTAACACCCACTCCACTCTCCCACCCGCTCCACTTTCCCACCCACTCCACTTTCCCACCCACTCCACCCTCCCACTCACTCCACATTCCCACCCACTCCACTTTTCCACCCACTCCACTTTCCCACCCACTCCACCCTCCCAACCACTCCACTTTCCCACACACTCCACTTCCCACCCACTCCACTTTCCCACCCACTCCAACCTCCCTCCCACTACACTCTCCCACCCATTCCTCTTTTCCACCCACACCACTTTCCCACCCACTCCACTTGCCCACCCACTCCACTTTCACACCCACTCCACCCTCCCACCCACTCCATTTTCCCACCCACTCCACTTTAACACCCATTCCACTTTCCCACCCACTCCACCCTCCCACCCACTCCACTTCCCACCCTCTCCATTTCCCACCCACTCCACTTTCCCACCCACTCCACTTTCCCACCCCCTCCACCCTCCCAACCACTCCCCTTTCCCACCCACTCTTACTTTCCCACCCACTCCACGCTCCCACCCACTTCACCCTCCCATCCACTCCACCCTCCCACCCATTCCTCTTTCCCACCCACTCCACTTTCCCACCCACTCCACTTTCCTACCCACTCCACTTTCCCACCCACTCCACCCTCCCATCCACTCCACTTTCCCACCCACTCCACTTTCCCCCCACTCCACCCCCCACCC